ATATCTAGTGGAATTTAAGAGGCCAGCCGATCCCGTAGATTTATTCGAAATTGGGTTAAGGCAACCCTATCCAACTGAAACAAAGTTTCTTAAAACCCGTCTTACTTGTTTTGTCTTGGTTGTCACCGGGCCATGAAAGCAAGTTGGAGAAAGGGCTTGACGAGCGCTCTGTTAGGATTTGTGATGAGAATTGTGATCTTATAATTAAGCTGTGTGTGTATTCTTTAAATAGAAGATTGACCGTGCCTCTTTTTGAAATCCTTGCAAATCAGTGTAGTTGTCGGTTTTTTTGTTTATCAAGTTCAAACTGTCGAGTCAATCTCTGAAGTGTCTACAGTAGCCTGATGTGGTTCAGTGTTTAAGTCAAGGATACACTAGGCTAAGTTACATTTTTGTTGCCATTTTAAACTTGAGTTTCCACTCCCTGGTTTGAATTTTGGAAATTTCAGCTCTTTAGTTTGCACTTCTTCCAATCCACACCGTGACTAATAACGCCCTTCATTTCTGGCCTTTAATTCGAATAAATCGAGAATCAAAGGATCAAAATTATGGTGTAGGGCATAGAAGGGGTGAATATGGTGGTGTGGAAATCATTTCCGTTGCAGAACCTATATCCTGGAAGCATCTCTGCTACTTTATTCATCGAATGTTGTTCGCTAGGCTTCCTTCGTATGCACTACAATGCCACTATCATCTTTTGATCTAAACCACATGTGGCATAATCTCCGGCTTCAATTTCCTTTCATGCTTTCAATTGATGCCAACCGCATAACAGAAATGTGCATTTGAATAAGTTTAAGGATAATGCTATTCACACTCATTCCTACACATGCTTGTTAATTTTTGCCATTGATCTTTTTCATCTGTTTGATTCGATGATCTAAAATTAACAGAAGTGTGTGAGAAGTAAAAATGTGTGAGCAGATAGCACTATCCTAAGTTAATTTCGAACATTTTCTCACGACTTCTAGAGATGTCCAAAATCAACTACAACTTTTGCATTTGCTTTCCCCTACCTTGCAGTTTATTACGTAATTTTATTTCTTTTCTGTAATTTCTTCCAACAAGAATATGATTCTGACCTCTCAAAGCATTTCAAATGGGAGTCTCTATTTAAGACTCCCACCATCAACTTTGAAGACTTATTTATAGGAACTAAATGAGAATAGTCGGGTGCCTAAAAGCATATCGCCTACAATGGGAGGTCCTCATAGTATAATTCCTAAATATAGAGACTAAAATATTAAAAATTAATGTTCATTTCATTGTAGTATTGTGGGCATTGATATATTTGAAAGTATCGAAATTTTTTGCTTTCTCCGGGCCAAAATATTTTTTGAGAAAATGTACGATATTAATTGATAATAAAGAAAATACGTACATCATTGAGGATAGGGTGCATACCATGAGCTTCAATAAAAATCTTGATGTGGATTTCAACCCCGATGAAAGGAAAAAAAGTGTTCTACATTAATAGAGTACCAAGAGATACTATCCTCCGTAATAAGATCAAAGATTACACCAAGGTTCTTCAAACCAAATTACATAGTTATCCGGGCCAAAATATTGAGCTTATCTGATAAATGGCAAACCTGTTGGAACTTTTGATGATAGGGATACTTTTAACTATTAATTAAAAAATTAATACTAAACGATTGTGTTTTTCTAATTTAGATCACTGCCCTTTTCTGGTAAAACTCTGCGTTATTTGGTAAACTGCAATCCTCAAATGGTAATTAATTAACTTGTTTACCGCTTATTGAAAGCAAGTGGACGTGCTAATATCACCCATCCTTCAATAAAAAGTGCCACATAATATTCTTACTTTTGAATGTACCCATCTATCAACAAAAAGAAGCTGTGTGAAGCATTCACACATTGGTGGATTTGTTTCCTATTCAAAATCAACAGTGGATCCATCTTTTGAGTTCCTATATAGAATCCTCACATTTGAAGATTTCTTTGAGGTGTTCAATGGGTCTCTGTATATTGGGATACTTTGAGAACTTCTAATCAGAACCATTGAAAGCTTTTTATCCCTGTCTGTATATAGGGACTATATAGTTATAGAGACTCCATGTAAGATCTCCATTGGAGATGCTCTCATCTCAACTTGATGGGTGCATATTTTCATATATTATTATCATAGATTTCCTTTGGATTTTGTATATATGAATGGGTTAAATGCACAAATTATATTGTTTTAATTTATAGGCATTCAATACCAGAGTTATGCTAAAAAAAAAGAGTAGAAAACAAGCTTTTTGGGTGTCTAGAGTAATTTTAGTGGGGTAATAGACTAATTAACTGTACCAAGACAAATGCATGAAATTGTAACGGTTTTGGAGATCAAATGGACATGGAAATGATATTCAATGGACTTTAGGAGAGAACTTAATTATTAGTTTTTATTATTTCCATTATTTTTTTATTTTCTTTAATAAAGACTTAACAGTCCATTGGAACTAGGATTAGTGGTCATTTATTTGGCATTTTCTATTAACCTTTTCAATTCTTGCCGTGAGGTTATATTAAGGAGATCAATTTTCCTTGTGGAGGGTTAGAAAGCCACAAAACACAATTCTTATCAAACCATAGGAGGGTTGCGGCAAAGAAGGGAAGAGGAAGAGAAGTTTATAGTTTTCTTTTCTTTGCTTGGGCTACGATGTAGCCTGATCATGAATACTTAATTGCCTTGTGGCATTGTGTGTGGGCCCAAAATAATATTATTGGGCTGAGTGTAGGTTTATGTTTAGCCCAAAACTTTTCTAAATGTACTATAGGCTGTCTAGTGGTCATAAGCAGCTCAGTTAGGGTGGTCGAGTCCTATTGCAAGAAAGAGTGATTTGGATAAGAGCGAATGGGTCGAAGTCCTAGTACGATAAAGAGTCTCAATGGAGTGAGGACGCTGAGATTTGAGAAGTGAAGGTGGCTGAATAAGGAGTTTGGTTCAAAGTCCTAGCAGGAGTAGGATTGGCTGAGCCTTAGTAGGACTAGGATGAAGAATCCTAATTTGAGTATAGTTCTGATTTGGCCAAGATGAGATTGGCTGCTATAAATAGGAGGGGGATGCATCATTTGAAAGCCCCTCCAATTCAACACACAAACTGTCATGCGCAAACCTCTCAAACATCTTGAGATTTTTTTTTTCTTTTTCCGCCAACACATCTTCAGTTTGGATAAACAGCACTGTGAAGGCAACCGGCGAACATCTTCAGTTTGGATAAACAGCACTGTTGCCGTAGAATCAGTCGATCGAGGAGCACCTTCAGTTTGGATAAACAGCATTACGTTGAGGCCGATTGGTTACCTATCCAAGTCTCGGTTGAGAAGGGTTTCCGAATCCTTACTGGTAGAGGTCATCTTATTAGCCTTGTCGATGAAGTAAGGTATTACAAGTTACTACATTCGGCACATTGAATGCCGAGTGATTTTATGATTGGATACTCACAAGTAAGTTTCAAAGTTCGGCATTTTGACGGCCGAACCACATTTACCATTAAGATATAAATCTCTTTTGGGTACCTGTGTCCGTATAATTTGGAGCCGGTTTGACGTGCTTATACTCTTACGAATATAATCACCGTGACCGAGCCCGGTGCCAATGATTCGTGAACTTCGCAGAACTAGCAGCCTTGTCTTCAGACTCAAGAACCCGAAGGCCGAGATGTGTTCCTTCCTCGATCGCAATTGCAAGATCAAGAAGTCAGTAGCGCGTTCAACTCAACATCAATAAATTTTACTCCTCGGCTGAGCTCGGCCGACGAGTTAGCGCACCCCACATCAACCAAGGGACGTAGTTTTTAGGGTCAACATTTTGGCATGCCCAATGGGACACAATGCTAAAACTTCGGAGTTCATGACCATTAAGACACGGGCAGTAAAAAAGAAAACAATCATGGGAAAGTCAACGACCGACCTGCCAGTTCAAGGCCATGGACAAGATTTGTCACAAGCACAAAATCCCCTTATAAATGTGACACCTGAAGCTGCAAGTGCAATGCACCGAGAAAAGGAAGTTTGTCTCGGCGGCCAGCCTCGCAACGCAGAAATTCCCAACAAAAGCACAGGGATTTTAATCGAAAAGATAGTGGAAGACTGCGACGAAAATGGTGGGGAAGGCTCTGATCCCCCTACTAGGTCGTTTCTTCGAAGACGACTTGATGAGCAATCTCAACAGGTCGAATAGTCGATCGGCCAAAAAATGAACAATTTGCTCGAGGTAATATGAAGTAATGGTGATACACACACTAGATTGCTTAAACTATTGGTCAATAAAGCCTTCGAAGATGCACACTCTAGTCAACCTTGACAACTTCTATTTAAGAGTAGGCCACTGCAAGCTGAGACAAGATCCACTCAACTCCAACCGATGGACTTGGAAAAAAGAAGAGGATCAAGCAGTCGATCAAACGAATCCGACCAGGGAATGGAAACAATACCCGTCAATATGATCGAGGTCCAAAAGATGATCGATTTAGCCCTGAAAAAAGGGCTAAAGTTCCCAAAATTCATCCATCCATACCCGGCTTATGTGGAGAAGTTCGAATATCCTAAAGGCTTCAAGATCCCAGATTTCAGCCTTTTTGCTGGAGAATTGTCCTTGTCTTCGTTATAACATGTAGCTCGGTTCATTGTGCAGATGTTAATAGCGACTTCCATAAACTGCGATTATTCAACTTCTCGCTAACAGGTTCAGCATTCGCTTGGTACATCAACATCTCGCCTAATTCCATCTAGAGTTGGGAGGAACTAGTCGAAAAGTTCCATGAACAATTCTATCGACCGGGGATGGAAATGTCAGTTTCATCACTAGCTAGGATGGCTCAAGCATCAAACGAGGCGCTAATGGAATACTTAGCTAGGATGGCTCGAATGTCATGGTTCCGTCTTGGGTTTTGTTTTCTTTTCCCTTTGTAGCTTTATTTATTTTTCTGTTTCAGTTTACGGAATGAAAAAAGTCATGATCTTACATTCTTGACAAGTTTTGCAAGTTCAAGTCTCCCTGATTCTATGGTCCGAGCCTTTTTTCTTTTCATTGCAGCTTACCATGGAATTTGTTACGAGCCAAAGTTTCAATAATTAAGTTACAAACCCAAAAGCAAAAAAAATTAGTTACGAGCCAAAGTTTCAATAATTAAGTTACAAACCAAAAGCAAAAAAGCAAAGCTTAAAATTTATGAAGATTGTTGGCCTCTTCGGCCCCTTGATCTTTTTTATGCTTGTGGTTGCTCCCTTCTTGTTGGTACTTGTACTCTTCCCCTTGATGTTGATGCTTGAGCCCTTCCCCTTACAATGGGTGGTCGTGGAGGTAGTGATTGATTTTGACGTTGTTGAACTTGAACTTGAGGTGGTCGAGGAGGTGGAGGTGGTATTTCATTTTCTTGTGTTGTATTCTCCTCACCTCTCAAATTAACCGTGCCTAAAACAATAAACCACAAATCATTTACATTGAATTATAGTCTAATAGATAATAAATACTAAGAAAATAAAAGAGGAAATTAAATTGTTTACTTACATCTTTCTAAGCGTTCAAGCTCCTTGTAGAAATGGAATTCGTCAAGTGTAGGCTCCTTGTAGAAACAAAATTCATTTCCTCTAAGCCAAACACTAGTACACACTAAAGCCTCAACTTTTAGGTGTTAAGGAAGTTCTAAAATGATCAACAACTCTCCAACCAAGACTAAAGGCATTTTCACTAGCAACAGTGCTACTAGGAAATAATTAGTAGAGAATCAGCAGGTTCAAGAAAAACAACCTGAAGAATAACAATTCAAGAAAATAATTAGTAGAGAATCACTCTTTAACAACACAACATCATAGTAGACTAATATGATCAGTAATCTAGAAGTTTCTTCCTCTCTGCAATATGAAAAGATTGGGAGAACAAAAGTACATAATGAGGCATGATCAACCAAGTGTCAAAGAGTAGTTGAAAAACTCAACTAATTAAAAAACCAAAAGCAAAGTGTCCAATTTCCTAAAACATTACAAAACTACTCTCTTCTACTCTCCTTGCCCAAACGGCGGCTTAATCAAGTGCATTACAACACATTTATTCAATTATCTCACTTATTAGTAAATAGTGGAGCTCTCATATTTGGCATTAGTTAAGGAGTGGAACCAGGAAAAAGGATTAATTTGCATTTCAATGTACATGATCGTAGACTAAATATTCATGTCATCAAACTGGTTTGAACCAAAAGCATCAGTATTTGAAATTAAATCATAAAAACTTAAACAGTTAGGGGCTAGCAAACCTACAGACTGTGTAACGTCATGTCTCAGTGACAGGATGCTATGTCAATTAGTTTAGTCATCTTGATGAGTAAGCATCTTATTTGTCAATTAGCTAACTAACAGTTAATTATGTGATTCGCAATTAGTTAATTCATGGGTCTTTAGCTGAACTTGCAGCCAGCTATATATAGCTGAGTTACATGAATGATATGCGAGAGTTCTTAAATGTGATTCTGTTTCTCTTTCAGTGTCAAGGTTTAAACAGGGTTCTATTATTCTACATACCAGGCTATAATGGAATCAAGAAAGATGATCATCTAAAACATTTTGACTGAACTAACAATATTATTAGCAGTTAAAACTTAAAACCATTTGAAAACTTCAAAGCAGAATCTACCAACAAAAAAAAAAGACGCTACAAAATTAATTCCAAACCCTAAATTAAATTTCAAAAGGAAGACATAAAGTAGATTTCAAAACACTAAATTAATTACCTAATTTAGGGTGAGAGTGAGACTCGGACTCGGTGTGGTGATGAGAAAGATCGCAAGTTCTGTCCGTGAGAGAAAATCGCCTGAAGAGAGAGATCGCAAGAGACAGCAGTGGCTGTGTGGTGAAGGAAAATTGGAGAGTAAAAGACGATAGTATGGTGTGGTGGTGGGCCAGTGGCTGGCTGGAATTCGACACAGACAGATGAGATGAGGGCTGGGTGAGGGAAGCTTAGGGCCTGCGCTTCGAGTTTGATGGATGGAATCAATCAATGGAACGGAACTACGGAAGTGAAATGGGATTTGACATAAAAACAAATGAATGACACAGATTAAAGCCAAAACAATGAACAGTTGAAATAATTCTCTTATAATTAAAAAATTATATATATATATATATAATATTTATTTTCGGTTTGGTATGGAAATACAGAAAATATGGAGATGCAAAACTAAATCCCGTACCGAAAATTTCGGTTTGGTTCGGGATGACATATCGAAAATTTCAGGAATTTTGGTTTGGGATTTTTGGGATTTTTTTCCAGCCTTAACTATTAGTTTTGACTTTTGAATGAGAAATAGTCCCACCTATTACTTTTTGTCTTATTATTTCTATAAAAAAAAAAATTAATATAAAATGTTGACGTGGCTTAACATTGACTGCACAAAATAAAAGGGGATGGAAATGGCACCCAAACAGGAGGGCAGACAATCTGCCTCCTACATAATTTCTGCACAACAACTTCTTTTTTATTATTCTATTGATTTTTAAACCAATCAAGTGAATGATTCAGCGGGTTTTCCCTCGTTTTTATTATTCTATTGATTTTTAGACCAATCAAGTGAATGATTCTGCGGCTTTTCCCTTTTTCTTTTCTTGCTAGATGCAGTGCCATATTCATTTGGGCTGCTTTCAAATTGTCATTTTTCTTTTCAATGGTTGCCAAATTAAGTTAATATTTTTTCATTAAGTATTGAACTAATATATTTTTTTATTAGGATTAATATTAGTTTATTGTCCTCAACTTTCTTGGTTTTTAACATTTGGTACATCAAGTTTTTCTCATTTCAGAATGGTACCTGAAGTTAAAAATTTTAGACAGTGACGTAGTGCGTCACGTAGACAATGACTGGACGCGTGGTTTAACTTTTTTTTTTAAATTTTAAAAAAATTAAAAAAGTAAACCTTCTTCTTCGACTACCCCTTTGTATCTCCACCATACCTCTCCTAACCCCCCACCTTCCTCTTCCTCCTCCTTATCCTGCACCCCAACCCACCATGTCCTCACCCATTGAACCCAAATCCTGCAATTTCCCTCCGCCCTCAACGCCAAATTGGACCCAGGCACCAATTCCTGATCCAATTGGAGTTTTTGCTCCACACCTTGAACCAGCGGACTCTCCACCTCTATGAAAACACGAAAGTTGCAGGTGCGGCATAAGTGGGTTTTGTTTTGTCGTCGTGGCAGGGATCTCCGGCAGCCGATCTTTGGTACAAGGTGCATGCAGCGGCCTTGGATCTCCGGCAGCCATGACCTCGAAGGGGTGGTAATCCGCTTTTGTTGCAGTTGGGGAAATAGTCGGCGCCGCATCCTCTTTCTCTCCACCAGTGCCCTCCCCTTCTCCGTCGCTGCAATCCGCTGCCGATTCGCCTTCTCACATATCTCCGTCGCCTCTTCCCCCCACCCCATGTCTCCCAAAACAAACCCCAACCGTAGCCTCCATGTCTCCACAATTTCTGAGCATGGATCGGAAACTTTTGGTGGACATGGCTGACTTGAATGCTATGATTTGTGATTGTGTATAATTATTAGTGGGTTTTTTTTTTTTTATTGGTGTGTGTGTGAAGGAAATCCTTGATCTGTTGGCCATGTTGCAGAAAACAAAGAAGGAACCCTTTGCTGGGCTTAAAGACGGTGGAGATCTAAGGGAGAGAGGATTTTTTTTTTTTTTTGAATTTTTAATTTTCATGTGGATCCACATGGCATCCAATCATGATCCTGTTGACCCTAAAAATTACACAACCTATGTGGCGTGCAGTCAAAGTAACTAATAAGCTAACTACGTCCTTCGGTTGAATGCAGGGCGTGCCAACTCGTCGGCCGAGCTCGGCCGAGGAGTAAAATTCGTTGTCACGTTGGGCGCGTTATTGACTTCTCTATCTTGCGATGGTGACCGAGGAATGAACACTCTCGGTCTCTGGGTTCTATAGCCTGAAGACAAGGCTACTAATTCTGTGAAGTTTATAAATCGTCGAAGCCCGGTTCCGTCACTGTGATTATATTCGTAAGAGTATAAGTACGTCGAATCGAAACCAAGCTATATGGACACAGGTACTCAAATGCGATGTGCGTCTTGATGGTAAATGTAGTTTGGCCGTCAAAATGCCGAACTCTGAAACTTACTCGTGAATATCCAATCATAAAATCATTCGACGTCCAGTACGTCGAATAACACAATTCGTAACACCTGACTACGCCAAGAAGGCTAGCAAGGTGACCTCTACCAAAGGGTTCGAAAACCCTTCTCGGCTGAGACTTAGATAGGTAACCGGTCAGCCTTGACGCAGTGCTGTTTATCCAAACTGAAGGTGCTTCTCGGTCGGCTGGTTCTGCGGCAACAGTGCTGTTTATCCAAACTGAATGTGATCGCCGGGTGCCTCCACAGTGCTGTTTATCCAAACTGAAGGTGTGTCAGCAGAAAAAGGAAAGGAAAAATCTCAAGGTGTTTGAGAGGTTTTGCGCAGGGCAATTGTATGCTGAATTGAAGGTCCTTTCTCGTTGTATGATTTCTTGTATTTATAGCACCTCATTCCTTGAATTGCATCCTTATCTGGATTGGGAGTCCTTGTCCCGTTTCAACTCTACCTCGAACAAACCTACTCCCACTAAGGCTTTGAACTTTCCCCTTTTCGAGGCTTTATTCTTTGTCGGCCGGGAATCCTGGTCGCTCCAGGACTTCCTCGACCTTTTTCCGTTTATCTGGACTACTTCTTAGGATAGGACTCGACTGACCCTGCCAACTGGCCCGAGACTTATTTACTCGGCCCATAGCATTTGACACACCCTTGGGCCGAGCACAACTTGCTGCTCGACCCAACAATATTATTTTGGGCCGAAACATTGCCCCCTTGCTTCTGAGGTCGACGGCTGTCAACCTTTTGGTCGGGCCTCGACCTTGAAGAAGCGGAAACGCCTGTTGCTTTTTGGACTATTTTCCTTGATGACCATTACTTATGCACATTTATGAGACATGATTGCATTCTCCTCGTTACCCCCAACGTACAGCCACGTGTCGATTCTCCTTCGGTCTTAACCGCTTTCAATCATGGCCCTCGAAAACGTGCATCTACCGAAGCGTCTCTTCCTCATTAATGCATTAAAACCGCCGCCGCACGCAATCGTGCGTCTTGAAACCTCGATCCTATCCTCGCAGGTTCCTAAAATATCCGAAATGATTGGGACCTTTTCCCGGTTAAATTTCCCCCCAATTCGTACCAGTGCTTTTCGAATACCAAACGTTTGATCTTCGTTCTGAAAGGCCTATAAATACCCAAACTTCTGCCATTCGCTCCCCATGCCTTCAGAAATTTCGAAACCTTCTTTTTATCATTCCTGTTTGTTCAAGCAACTCCTTCCAGTTCTCCCTCCTGCAATCTCCTCGTTTAACCCCACATCCTCTCCTTTATCAATGGCCTCCTTCATTTCAAAGCTTTCCGACGAGTGCAACAAATGCAAGGACTTCATCGATCGGAGCGCTATCAAGACGCTGCGCTTCGAAAATGACATGGCCACCACTCACCAGATTCTGGGCCCCCTTTTCAAGGACGCAGTGCCGTCGTCCATTACTAAACTCCTCAAGGAGCAATGCTTAACACCCCTGCTACAGGGTTTTGATTGGTCGAAATGGACTTTGGCGCGGCCTCAAGGAGCCTGGCCCTTGACTACCATAGCCTGGGCCACCTGGGTTGACCGAATGAGCACATTCTTCGGCAAGGAGTGGAAAGCACTTGGTATCTATGATGCCATCATTCTTTCGACCATAGAGATTACCATGGATAAGGAACTGCTTATGGCGGTCCTGAGTTTATGGTGTTCGGCCACCAACACCATGATCCTGTCTTTCGGCCCTCTCGGCCCCACAGTCCTCGACATTTCGGCCATCCTTGGGACTTCTCCATCCGGCCTCCCCATCGATGTCGCCCTTTCCGGGTGCCCTTCCCTTCTTGATCTAAAGGCGTTATTCGACGAACGGGCCGTCGAGACGCTCAGTCGGGGCGACCGGGAGCCCTCAAGGGAAGAAGTTCAGAAGCTCTACAAGAACTTCTTCAACTACAACACTCTCATCCTTCACTTCACCGACCGAGGCAAGGAAGGCCTCAGGAAGGGAGAACATGAAGCCTTCCTCTTCTATTGGTACAACAAATTCATTTGTTGTACCAGGTCGAACAAATGCCTGGTCGAGAACATGCTGATGGCCCAGGCACTGGCTAGTGGTCGCTTCTTGGCACTCACCCCGGCTATACTTGCCAACCTCTACCGTTGCTTGGCCGAGACGACCATTAACAAGATTGACCCGCACCAGAACGGACCCCTCTGGGTCTTCCAACTCTGGTTGCAGGTTTATTTTTCCACATTTCAGCCCGAAGTTCTTGTATTCCAGCGATCTGCCGCCCTCGGCCTTCAACTGGCCTCTAGACCGACACCTCCTCATCGGGCCGACGAGGTCCTCAAGCACTTTCTCAGCCTCAACGTCCTTTCGAACTACGAGTTCCTGGTGTGTCGGCGCCAGGAGTACCTTACCTCGATCAGGCTCCCCACGGCAGCGTGGGCCGGGTCCGAGGATGCGGGCCTTCGTCAACACTGGGGGTCATTCGTTCTAGCTCACGATCTTCCCCTTGGTTGCGATGCCCGCCGAGCCAACTGGGAGGTCTACCACCCCCATTTTGTCGCCCGGCAGCTTGGCTACCTCCAAGGTTACCCTATACCCCTGCTCTCCTCTCGGTCCCTCCTGAGTCGAGGGCGTCTTTCTGGTTCCTCTGAGAGGGAATGCAAGATGACGGAGCAAGAGTTTCAGGAGAAGTGCAAGAAATTCCGGCTCCGGCCGACGGTTCCTGAATCTCTGGGAACCGATACCTTCGGGGACTGGTGGGATGAATACACCAGTGACTTCTTCGGCGTCTCGGCCAAAGACGTGGTAAGCAAAGTCTTCGGCGACCGACCCAAACTAGCTTCTGCGGCTCAACCCAAGGAGTCGACCCAAGGTATATCGTCCTTTCGCTCTTTGT